TTCTAATGTAATCAACGTTTGAATGCGTTAAGAACAATTTTGTCAATTCCTTACATAGATTAGGAGGTTATAAATTAAGTAATGAAAATGAACAGTTTTGCATTTGACTTAAGTTTAAAGTGTTTACCTTTACATTATTATGATGCATCGTTATATTATTATACATACATTGAAGCTTTTTTATAATATCAAGAGACATCCGCCTCCATGAATATATTTTTCCCGGGCGTCGAAACTGCAACGTTGGGCCATAGAGCTGGAATATTGCAATAGGAGAGGGCGTTCGGCGTCGTACATAATTGCGTAATGTTGCGTACCAACTCGTATTTTATGAGGAAACGTTGGCCCCACTGGTCTGTGGATACCCACCGCTCTTATTATACAATTTTTAGAGAAAAATTCTTTTCGCTTCACCTCACAAACTCTGTAAAGGCACAGGGAATTGCAAATGTGGTTTCAAATTTGTTTTTATTATTCATTATGTTCTTTAAAATGCATGACAAAATCTTATAAATTATAAAAATATTTAGTGGTGGAACTAAAACGGCCGTAAGCTTGTTTAGGTTTGCACTAGACTTATTATTGTAATTGCCTATTTAACAATACATTAACGTAACAGCCGAATAAAGACAGCAGCTGTGCCTTCTTTCTTACTGATTTATCTTTTTATCAAACGTAATATGACTCAGACTCTAATCAACATTTGTCCACTCCGTTGTTTAATTCTATATTAAAATATATAGGAAGATCAAAAATGTTCCGTTGAAAAATACAACACTAAAATATCTCAGTCTTCCAACTCGATTAGCTAGTCCGTTTCATCCTTGTCTCGCGCGAATACTAATTGCCTAATTTAGATTTTTAAACGACCAACGAGCATCCGGGTTCCGTTGATCGATCCCGGGACCCCTCAGTTCCGGTCGCTTCAGCTCCGGCCCGTTCCTAAAATCCTTTAAACCGTCCAGTGTAACGTCGGAGCTCCTATCGGAAGCGTAATTTAAATTTTCAGACCGAAATAACGTTGAACGGGTATCACGAAGGCTCTTGTTATACTGGACACTCCATCTGCAGCAGGTAGAATAGCTAATTGTGTATTCTTTCCTCGCTTCGAGCGTCCTTAATCCGCCCTTTTTGTCCCACCACCCCTTTTCCATCCTCTTCACCGCACCCCAACTAGGTGGAAAGTTTTAAGTAAGCGGAGCGTCGCATCAAATTAAAAATGTGAAAACAATGCGATTAACACAATCCACTACGGCATCTTTTTGATATTTTCCCTTAATTTTTGGGGTGCATAATTTTTCGGCATTATTAATGAAATAAAAATTTAAATAACGACCTAGCGTCCGCATAATATATTTATACGATTTCCTCGAAAAAAGTATCGATCACACGTGTTTTGTTTCGAGTATGAGTCATGTTACGATTCTTCTGCATATTTATTATGTACAGATAGACAAATTGTTTTAAAATAAGTACCTACGATATAATGAATATCAAGACCAGGCAATTATCAGACGCGATAAATCGTTCAACGCAATTAGGAGGGGTGGGGAATTCGTCGTGTAGGTAGGCTGCTAAGCGCAACTGAAGCATCGCCGATCGTTCACAGAGGTAGGTCGTTGCATGCGGGAGATAACCACAACCCTACGGTAAACAATCCAACAGTATACCACCCCGAACAGTGTACAGCACGTTAGACGGGACGATTAGCTTTTTACGGGGTTCTTTGCCGAAAAAACTATGTCTCTAAATGCGAACGTTAATCCGTGTAGGAGCATGCTCGTCCGCTTGTCGGAGTATGTTTATATTGAGCGCCGCGGGGGAGTGCTTACCGATGGCGTGTTAGTTTTAACTACTAAATTTATCGATAGTAGGGATAATTAATATAAATTACTCCCCTTTAGAATGTTCGCGGCGAAATTAGACGGGATCTCTTTCGATTCTACTGCTTTCTCTCTCGCTTTCCGAAGGTTTATCTTCGAGATCTGAAATGCTAACATCGATAGTGAAGGTTATTTTGATGGCTGTAATAGAATAAGAAAACCGTAATTCGCAATTACCCTTTGTTGCCGATAGATTACCCGACCCAACTTTAACAAGCCGATGGTATAAGTACGTAGGTAACATACGTATGGATGTATATACTAGTTGACTTTAGGGAAGGGATCATAATAGGGAATTTTCCCGGGCGCGTGTATGCGTGCAGCACCCGATCCCTTTTTACGTCTTGTATTGTTTTTATTCTCCAAACTTAATGAAAGAACTTGTCTCGCCTATATTGCGATTTCAATTCACCCCGTGTTCCGTGCAGATGTGCTCCGATATTTCATGTAATTTATGTGTTTAAGCGAGGTAATGAGATTAGCTTATCTTCGCTAAATGCGCGGCCGTTTTAAAAGGGTGACGACATTGTGCGCGGATCTTTCATGGGGTCCCATTTCGAATGGTCGTCGATTAGGGGTCCTTTTGGGTGGGCAATACTTTGGAAATACTCGGTATATACCTATTCATTGCCGTGTCGATGTCAGTCAGACAGATTTTTTTTTCTTTTCATTTCATAAAGAACACGAGCGTGAAGTTCATCATACTGCTTGTGCCTTCATGAACTTCATGCGATAGGATTGAGTCATATTTCGCTTAATTTTATTTAGTATTATAAAATCAAATAATATTTCACATACGTATCAAGTATATCATGTTGAATACTGTCCATGTACGCGTTGTAACTTAACAGTAAACTTAAATAAACGGAACCTAAGAAACGACTCGACATTTTATTAACCCGTGTAAACGTCATTTTTACGACCGCTCATATTGGATAACGTGGCTCAATAAAATCAGAGCCTATACAAAATTTATGCTTAAGAAACTAGGACACGAAAAATGAACTTTTTGTTCATCAGCTGTAAATGTCCCCGCAAATTGACCATAAATTTGTGCTCTATTAAAATTTATCGACCTCAAAACGTTTATTTGTTACGTTACGTAACTCGGTAACCCTTCCAGCCGTAAAACAATGCAGCGCTAAGAGTCATGCGAAAAAAAAAGTCCTTCGCCGCTATGGCATATTGATTTAGGGACAATAATCGCGTGGCAAGATTGATTCGGTTTTATGGCACGGGGGGCAGTGTTTTACGATCTCTTATCGAAACGAAGTTTTTTAGTGCTCACAGGCGAACGTGTAATTTTTATATAAAGCGCCGATAAAAATTAAAGAAACGACCCGATAGAATCGGCGACGGTGTTAATTAGTATAAACACGATCAACTTTGATATTAACTTTAATTTCGTACGCAATTAGTCAGTCGGGATTCAGCTATAAAACATTTAACATTACTAATTTGCATGAAGCTAATTACAGAGCGCCATCGGACGTTCGACATTTAAATACAATGCGCGCACGCGGTTTAAACGATTCAATAATCACAGAGGACATTAATTACTTAACGGCCGCCATTACTCGGCTATTGAATCTTAAAGCAATAGACTTTACTTAAGATAGAAGGTACAATTTACAAGCTTATAAGGCTACGAGAAACACGTCTACAATGTAGCAAATTGGAGCCCTCGCGAGCTTTAGACTCGCACATACCTTTCTCTTTATACAAGATAAAGCATACACCGCTTGGAGGAGATAAAGAGGCGAAATCGACCGCAACTATATAAAGGTTTGCGGCGATAAAAATACCATGTTTATTTGCACGTCTTACATCAGCCGGGGGCCGGGAGGAGTGGGCCCACCGTTCCGGGTATACGCACGCGAAAATCTCCGCTGTAACGAACGCGCCACGATCGAGTTTTACCCGCCGCGAACGCCTCGACGGAACCTTTTACAAGCAATCGCCTTGGTGAACTTACAAACCGTCATATCAGTAAATTCGGATCCCTATCTCGAGCTGTTTTTCACCCCAAAAATGTGATTTAAAAAGTACGCTCCTGAAAGATTGCCGCTTCGCCCGTTAGTTGGGCAGATGGCGCCCATTATTAGTGATGTTGAAAGGATTGAACTCTCGATATGTACTGTTCTATTTATAAACGTATCACGGACTGCTTTTGTTTACGCGTTTTAGCCGCTTTTAGCACGAGGCTTGAGTGTTTTATTTTTTTTTAAATAGCTTTACATTTACCCCAACTAATGCATTCCTATTTCTAGACGGTAGCGTCCCTTCGACGATTGCTTATTACTGATTTTTAATGTCTAAATTTTCACCCTATAAACTCCATGTGCTTATTAAATATTGTTAAACAACTTTCTCATACGATCACTGAGGAAAAAATAATAATGTTTTGTTGTTTTCCTTTTCAGGCGCATCGTATAGGTCGAAGAGAGAGAGAGAGAGAGATAGAGAAGCACATAAGCGACCGTTGCAACTTCGAGCTGTCGCATATTTCAGAGGTGATATGGCGAAAATCAAGGCACTTGAGGTTTTCTATTAATTGCCGTTTTTATTGCATTTCGTCGGAGCGCAAGTTAATGTGGCTTCCAAACCGCACCATCGAGGGCAGTTTACAATGTTTTTGTTTGTAGAACCACGTTATAATGCCAACTATATTAACAGATGACAACACAGTATTTTAACTTTGTCCTGCCCACGCATAAATAAAAGTAACTGGCATTATATGTACGCGCAAGCGAAGCGTTATTGATTCATGCCTTTACGGCGTTACGGTATTTATGTCGAGATAATGCGTACTCATTTATTTTTATTAAAGTAATAAAAGCCATTGAAACTTTTATAAAGAACAATTGAATGGGATGCGAAATGTATGCTAATGTCGCAATCGGGCTATAATTGTCCAAACTTCCTCCTTTAGGGGTGCTTGATCATACACAAAGAAGTTAAGCCAAGTTATCTCGGCTCGCGCGACACTTGGACGAGGAACGCCATGAAAAATTCAATAGGTCGTCGGCCAAGGGTTTTCTGGGACGAAAGTGAAAAAAAAAACGAAAACGAGAACAATAACGTAGATTGAATCAGTATGCGGCGAGCGCGGTCGGCATGCAGCCGGGAATTTTGGCAGACGGACAACACCCATGTACGTGCGTGCGCGCTTTAAATCCGACGATGCGTCGATGTCATCGCGCTCCGGACTTAACACGATTCACTAATTAACGGCGTCCCGCAAGCGACGGACGGAGATACGGTTATGCGAGTATTCCCGCGAGTTGTGAGCGCCGGTGGCGCGGGAGAATTAAACGATTTATCCCGCCAGACGATCCAAGTCCCCGGCGGCGACATACCGGCCGAAAATAAACCGAGCGCATCGCATAAGGAGTTCGCACATTGACAGCGCTAACAGCGAAATGATCGGCCGCCCTCGGGTGCGATGCCCGTCGACTCTATTCTCATAAATAACCTCATTAAATTCCAGCCGAGTGGCAACTCGGTCAAATACCTGCGTTTTAAATCAGGCCCAATGTATTCCGGAGCGATTCGCGCGCAAAACACGACCGCTTTAGTTGGCCATAATAAATTATTTAGCGATATCTCGGATCATTGGCGAAACGATGCGCAAATCGGTTCGGTTGTTGGTCTATTTGAATGCGGCCAAACACACTGACGTAGTTGACCCGAATGATAGGATACTTTTAAATAGAAGAATGCGATATAGTATATTATTAGGCACCACATTCATAGGTCGGTTAGGAACGAAAATACAAACACACATAAAGTTAGGTTAGTTACGGCGTTGGACAGATTGTAGTTTATATGAAATCGCGTTGAGGAAAGTAGCACATGTGCGATTTTCACGACAATATTCAATTAAACGATATACGACGGTGCAATAAATTCATCACAGACGCTTAGAATCTCCATCTCTTTATATACAGCCCAATTAAATTAACTCTACGCATACGACTTTCAGAATGCCTACACTGGAAAATCCCGATGGGAATGTCCAATGAATTATACGTAATAAGATTATATTCTAACGGTTAATTTATTCGGGGCGACGTCGTTCAGTTTCAGAAAACAAAGCGCATATTACATTTAAAAGTCAATGCAAAGGCACATAAAATTACGGACAAAGTGTATTTTAACATTACTTCTCTCGATGTAGCAGACGTCAGGCCGCCTCCCACGACAGCTCGATTGCTTTCGACGTTATAAAGTAGATAACGTATTTTTTTATTTTTCAAATTGGAAAAGAAGGCATTAATGGCCATTAAGATACACAAACGATATCTTTCGATTCTTAATGAATGCCTGTCAAATTAGCATTGTTATTCCGAATTATTTATAATTTTATTAGAATGTTAATATTCCAAATTTTATAATTAGAGTACAATTAACACTCATATTATTTTTAAAAACGAATACTTACATCAACGAGACTAACCGATCCATATGATGGGTTAGTCTTGTAAATCCCCACATACCAATATAAGTGCGGAATTTGTAACTTTAATACCTAGTCATGCAAACCAAAATTGCCACGTAAGCAAACATAGATCACTTGTTTTCCTCCTACTGAAACAACACATTTAACATCGAACCAATGCATCAACATCGCTGTGTACGATTCCAAACGCTATGCGGGCACTGGCGAACGTATCGCTAGCGTCATCTGTAGTAGACTTTCGGCACTAGGCCGATGACAATCTCAAGTCATCGCGTACGTGACGCTAGCTGCGCAGGCTAGACGCCAAGTGGGCAACCCACATTTCAGCACGTTCGCCGACCCCGCAAGGACGGCATCCGTCATCGGGCGGGTCAAGGCCGCGACAGATCGTGTCAAACGCGTCACAGTATCTGCATCTGTGATCGTCTACGTCGCTCGCTGCCAACGCTGCAACCGCACGCGACTTTGCGCGCTATGCCGCAGCGTTAAGTGTCCGCCGCTGCCGCGGGGCGTAAAAATACTCGGTTCAATGACCCCCACCGCGGGAGCGATGTTTGCTCTAACGCAGTCCGATTCCGCCCCCGTCGGCTGAAAGATATCGGGTGTCGATGAATTCGTCTCGGCTCGCAACCATCTGACCACTGACCCACAGAGTTCACTTTCGTATCGAAGCATTTAATAACATCACATCATAAGAGAGATATCGACACAAAATAATAAATGCCGAATAATCTCAACGGCCTATCTTACTGCGTTAGGCTAATTAAGCACTGGCTGTTCAAATTGTATTAACAAGTCAACACTTAACAAACGTAAATTGATTCGTTCAAACCAAGGCTCAATAGTGTAATCTATGTACGTCTGTCGGCATATTAGCTAGTGGGCTGCTCCAATTCAATATACTAAATAGAAATGTGAAGGGATCATAGAAAACGAAGTCACACGCGACCATCGCCGAGTGGGCGATCCGAATAACGAATCGATTAAACACATAAATTCTCGAGCAGGTAGTGGATCCATAGTCTGTGTGAACGAGAAACGGGGAATCGGCCACGGCGATCATAAATTTGCGATTTTAAAAAATAATGAAAAAAGTATTTATTAATACACATTAATAATCTGTGAGTCAATCACATAAATAAGAGAAGCGACAGATGCGCGCAGCCCCTGTCCTTTCGGAACATTTTTATAACAATAAATTGTAGAGAGAAAAGTCTCGAAATTACAGTCGGCACCACAAACGATACAGTTGTTCGGTCACAAGGTGGTCTTTAATTATTTAAGATAGAATTATGATAGAACTTCATTAGGTGGGAGCGGGTAATTTAATCCATAATAAATAATATCGAGTGCTCCTTTGTGATTGCGCGATTGGATTATTAATGAAATGGACGTCCGTTGCCGCGCGTTTTAATTTGTTTCGTGGCTGTACGCGTTAGTGATATCTCTATCTTTGTGGGGTGACAGCTGTTTCATACATAATTTTTATCATCACGATGTGGTGTGATGGTGATAGACGTATTCAACCCAAGTCAATTCACACTTGCCTTGACGTCACTGAAGTCCGTCGGAAAGACGAACGGAGACATAATAATAGTAATATGTATACATTCAAACGGCTGTTATAGTTGTCTGTTGTGGTTTTACTCGCGTTTTGCCTTTTTAGTTTTAATAACGCCGTCAGTTAACCCGATTACGTGATTACCCAATTAATAATTACAAAGATAATCTGTTACATACATAAATATTCTTAGAAATATGTTGGTAACATGTACAACTCAATGATTGTTCTGGCATGAATGAAACTACATATTATAAAAAATATAAGCGAAGCTAGTTCTCCATAGCTGTATAAAAAATATACACAACTAATCTTTATAAGTAATTTGCATACTGGGTTGTATAAATTTATTATTATTCCGCAACGATATAAATAGTGACGAATGTTCACGAATAAAAAAAAACTTTATAGAGATTTAGATTAATATAATGGACACTTAAATACGAACGCGATCTGTAGAGCGAAAACTCCCATTTAATTCAACAAAATGACACAAACAGTTAAAATACATCGCTTGTAAGTGGCTTGTGACTATGTGAAACTAAGAAAACAAACACCACCAATAATCTAGATAAGCACAATAGTTAGAATAGTACATTATACTATTCGTTCAAGTGCATTAAAATATGAACTAGTTACGAGAGGTTCAGAATGAAGGCAAAAAAATCTTACTATATGGATACTACTTATCCTTACCTGTTTATTAGCTATCTAGAAAAGTTGAAAAGAAAGTCCTAGTGGTATACGCTATAATTGCAAAATTATAATATTATGTAGGTAGGTACACGCTTAACTTGAGAACAAAGAGCTATGCCGCTGGGCAAGATGGCAGGCAGTTGTTAAAAATATTACAACGCCTCAAGCTTAGATTAAACAGATAGGTAAATATATTTAAACATTTTTTTTCTGAACCTTTATGCCCACAACATTCATAGCGGCGCCATAGACTTGAATTCGTTGATATAATAATTATAATTAAGTAAACAGCATTATACCTACAATTAATGCGAGCACATAAACGCATAATATTGTGATCGAAAACACTTCCTACAGAAATATTTATGAAATTTTACTGAAACAAAACGTGTATACCATCACCTTTATTAGATTTACTTTAGAAAATATTAAATATTGAGACCGTGATCGGTGATTAAATCATTGAAATAAGTTCGAGCTTAGGTTACATTTCGTGCTTTTAATTTTAGATATCAATGACAACTTCCAAGTTGTTATCTATCGTGCTGCATTTTAATGCTCCCATCGCTCGACAAGGGTGCATTCAAAATGTTCTAAACCGATAATTCTTAGCGCAAGAATGCGGGCCGACAAGCTTTGACACATAAATTCCTTTGCAATATTTGATTTGCTACCAATCCATGCTCTAATGCACGGGATTAGAATACATAATTGGTTGTATAGATATGCTATGTAAGTTTGTAGATTTGTAGTAATGGTGGACGGTCATGGCGCTTGTGACGTCATTCGGCCAATGAGCGCGAGGAGCGACGCGACGGTAGCGCCACAAGATGGCCGCCGTCGGCCGGTTGCCGCCGCCTTCGCAGTTTAGGCCTAAATGCCAAGAAGTTTTTTTATTTTTATTATTGACAAGAGTTTCTTTTAACAAAGTAGCCCTAATCTTAACTGTATTTAAAAGTCTGTTTTAATTAGATTTTATTTGTTGAATAGTGGAAAAATCAGTGTTGATGAAAATATACCTGTGCCGTGAAATATTATGGTAAGCTTTTTTATTTTGTTTTTATTTTTAAGCGCAAACATTTTATATGGTTTATTTGGATTGCCATTGATATGAAACAGTTTAATTTTTTTATGTTAAATTATTTCTTATAAAACATGTTTTAACAACTTTTTTTATTTTCTTATTGGACCCACTATTTATTTGGTTCAGTTCTATTAAAAATTAAGGTATTTATTAATTCTCACAGCCTCTTTCCATCATATTTGTACCAATTTAATATTATAACTTCTTTTATGCGTTAAAGGAGATTTTAAATTATTTAATAAAATATATTATTGTAGTAATTTAATTGATAAAGTAAATAGTACCTACTAAGCATTAATTTAAATAATTTGCACTTTTTATTCCCCTACATACACTTTTTAAAACTAATAATCTAATAAAAACCTAATTATTAGCGTATGGATCAAAATTAAACTACCTACGTCGTTTATAATAAACAAAATAAGTAAAATTTAATGCTGGTTAAAAAATAATTTACTCGAGTATGAAATACTGTATTTATAGGTTTTTCGCTTAATATTCTTGACCCGTTCTGACTTGTACTTAATATACACATCTATTACAACCTAATTTGTATAAATAAGAGTTAAAATAAACATTTAAAAGTAACAATTCAGCACTGGTTACCGTCTAGTTTGGTGGGGGTTGCCTGGTTTATAACATTGAAAAGTGAAAGATTTTCCCATTCCAAAAAAGACCAAGAAAACCGGCACCAAACATTTTTAACTTCAAAGCAAGAAACCGTCTCGCTTAGGCTTCTCCAGTTGTCCTTAAGCGTAAAAAGTTCTCTAAAAGGCAAATGTATCCAATTCAATTGTTCAAATGCAATTAGGACAGGGATCTCCGGCATCAATGTCCGTGCCTACGCGGCTTGCTGTCGAAGCTATAAACGGAGTTGCCATAATTAAATGGTGCGAATTTATAGTCCGCCGCCCGCAGGCCCATAACAAAGTCGAGATCAAAGGAGTCCTTTCGCGCGTGCATCGAAAACTCCTTTCGCAGTAACGTTAGACTCAACTGACATGCTTATGACAATAATAACGTGGATAATAATAAGTTATCCGGGTGTAGGGTGAAGAGAAAACTACAATAACGCCAACTTCACGACTCGTTTTAAGATATAAAAGACGCACCCGTGATTTTAGCATTTAGTAACGTTCCCGTCAAAATATTAACCGCTAAGCTAACCGAAATCTAATTCAGTTGCCATCTTAATCAACGGATTACACGTTCTTGCTCGCTTAACTCTTTTGTAGCGGCTGAATGCAATTTATGAAACGGCTGCCACGCGAGATCATTTGATAACGATCGTAATACTTGAAGTGGCAGTAAATAATCAGAACAATATTTATAGCTGGTCCTGAGTTTCACCACCATAGCTTGACGGTCCATAGCCGTGCGTTGTTCACGTAATTTTCTGCCACACACAAACGCATTGCGGAATCGGTATTTCTGGACTAATACGACATAAGGACCTTAAGAGCAGGCACATACCTTTAAGGCCGGCAGTGCGTTTGCAACGCTTCTCGTGTTGCTGGTGTCTATGGACAGCTTTGCTTACTCACTATCAGATGACCTACTCTCTTTTGCTATTTTGCTATCAAAAAACTTTCCATGTCACAATTATCACGAGCGAAACAGAAAAGCACGTGCCCTCCTCAACTTCTATGGAGCTCGAACCAGCCACCGGCGAAATTAAATTGTCAAACTTCACGCACAAACGTCGGTTCAGCTCGAGAAACTGTAACGGGCACACACGAGAGCCGCGATCCCATAATGGCAACGTTTAACTCTTATCACGTTAAGTTGCTCCAAACAATAGAACTTGTGTGTACGTATGTACAGTAGCAAATTACTTTCTTTACTTTTCACAGCCACAGACTAGCTTTGTTTAGCCTACACAACGATACAATGCATAGCCTGAAGTTTGGTTTAGCATACCATTTTAGCCAGTCGCTATAACCAACAATAAATAGTTGTTCTTTGGATTAGGTCACAAATAAGTATGCTAGCAAACTCATTGTAAAACTATCATAATTAACATGGACGTTCGCAAAACTGGAGTATTGCAAAAGTGCTGACAGCCTTAGAGTTAAAAAGGTTCTCTTCTCAAAGCTCCCGTCGCTTCGCAAAGTCGGTGCTGTGTAGAAACTTGACAATAACTGATTCCTGATAACTGAGATTTCGCAAAAAGCGAACGGTGTTTGCCAACCATCCAACAAGATAGTGTAAACAAAATACAAACACAAACCGCATCGATATCTCTTAGATAAATAATGCGCTATCGCTATACAAACTCCCTAATAATGTTATGAATTTAGCGGCCCCTTTAATCTCGCATGCACCGAAAAGTTACACGCTCTTTTCGCTGTCCCACTAATGAACTTATAAATTGCGCGCAGACTTGTTCGGGCCTTTAACAGATAAACCCCGGACTGGAATCGGAATGCATTACCGAAATAAATGTAAAGCAAACGTTTTCAACGTGAATTATAATCGATGTCAAGTGGATTGGTTATTGCGTTCATAACCATATGTTACCTAAAGTGCTTCGCAAGAGCAAAGGCGCTGCGCTTTGTTGTCTTTAAGAATACGTCGCTCAGACTCCTGCTCATTACCCTGTGGTTTTTGCTGGTCCATTAAAAGTTTTGCTTACATTTAAAATTACATTTATTTCCTTTGATATCATTTAAAAATTAAACAAATGAGTAGATTACAAGCTGCTCTTAAAATTCACACATGCGAAAGCGTACAGACACCTATCTATTCGTGTTCACTTCCCGCTCACTCACATCTACAGAACGCACACAAATCCAACACAATGGTGTTACTAAAATCGTAGCAAACCGACAAATATTCATACTCGTGTAATTATACAAACTTACACACGTAAACTGCTTCATACGTGTAAGTGTGTGCTAGGAGCGAATTCGCTAATAAATCATCATTTCTTTTGTTACAGCAGAATACGGGGGCTGCCGCGTTCCACCCTTATTTTTTGCGGCATCCTCCCCACCTAAGTGCGCCCGCTGTGCCGCCCGCGTCGTACATTGTGACGCAATTTTAAAACGCATCTAGCCTAGTCACACTTGGTATTGGTAAGCGGTAATAAACTACTACTTTTACTGGTAGGGTACGCAGCAGTCTTCGCAGCTGCACAGATGGTCAGATCTGTCCGATGAAAGTACCACAACCTCACAGAACACCGGCGTGATATAAAGTACTATAGTTCTGCGTTTCGTCTGGTGATTGTGGTATCCGGGGCCTACATTATACCGGGACTACTAACCCTACAGACGTTACAAATATTTATGGGCAGTGGTTATTATTTAACATCAGGTGAACAGCTTCACTTACCATTTCTTACATTAAAAAAACTTATAACTAACCTGATCGTTAATCAGATGCTATTGTTCTTTTTACATTTGACTTGGCCGATAATTCACGTGTTCTACATCAGAGAACAAAGCGGCCGAAGTCCTTGGAATTTAATATTAATTCCTTGGAACAATTTCCTTGGAATTTAACATGATTTTGCGCTTTATATCGTTAAATAACTTTTATGTGCCGTTCGTAGAATTTGTTTGCCTACAAGTCCTCGCAATAAATTTTCATTAAATAAAATAAAACTGCAAAAAAATACTTTTTTTTTATCGGTATCCTTTTAAATGTGGCCGTGTTAAAATTACAAATTGTAATTTTCCAAATTAAAATTGATGAAAACATCATTGAAATTAACTTTTGCCGTTTTGATTTTCTACATTTCAACCAACGACAAGAAATTTTTCGTCTAATTTTCTTCCATTGTTAGATCCAACATCAAACGACTGCCAGTCATAGACCACCCCAAGGCATCTTATTAATATTCCTCCATTGTGTTAATACGCTATCCAGCTATCATTTCAAACTTAAGTTGCCTATATTATTTCAATCACAGCATTTCGTATAAATTTTTCAATGCATATTAAGACCTGCTTAGGCAGGATGTTAAGTTTTGAGAAATAACTTATGGAAGAGTTTTTTTCGCATGCCACCTGAGCCTTAGTCCTTGGCAAGGCACACGTCCGTTTGAATTATTGTTAAGCATCTTGGAAACATGGAGTGGACGTCCGTGTAACGACTGTCTATATATAGTTTGTCCTCAAAGCTGTGGACATGAACACGTTATGTTGATAATAACTTGTAAGTGTTTTATAAATGCAATATATTTTATAAGGCAGTAATAGATGAAAATTTATATGGATACGAGTTTATTGAAAACTGGCAATGAAACATTAAAAGATTAAACAATACAATGGGAGACGGAAATTAAATAAGATTATTATTATTATTTCCATGGTTTCTTATAAGAAAATGCTCCTTCTTAGTTGAACTTTAATAGCTGCTTACGTTAATGTGGTCGCCGAAACAAGTATATTTTGTAGTTTTTTTGTATACGGTGAATAACTCTACATATATTCTCGTGCACGAACCGGATTCGAACCGCAATCCTCACTTGAAGGCAATTCCCAAAGCCACCCAATTTATCATAGCACAAATCAAACGAATTAAATTTTATATTACCTACTCATAGTAGTATACTTTATAAATGCAAAAATGAATGAAAACCATCAATATTTCGGCGTTGATTATTATTTACTACGTGTATAAAATTTAATCATAAAATTTGTTATATACTTATAAAATTTATTTAAGTAGGTACTATAGATTTTTCAGTCATTTTTTCTGTGTCCACGTAACTTAGAGTAGTACATACCTGCACATAATTTATTATCATTGGAAACAAAACAAGGGCTGCGTTCCCATTCGTCGTTACATGCTCATTTACCATAACATTATGATGTGGTAACAATCAATCAGCCGGTTTTGGATAAAACGGTGTATTTTCTAAATGTCTAAACTAAATATCCTCACTCAACGGTTAGTGCAAAAACGTATTCTTCGTATAATTCGGGCGCAATGGAGGCGTTAGGTTAACGACACGAGGCAGTATGCGCCGCGTTGAATAAAACAACATCAGGTCGGATAAGACACCTGTGTCCGCTGGCTATGCTAGCAATTCCTAAAGCTGAGTTCGCTCGATCTTAACATCGACTACTCACATACTATTTAAGTCGTATTATTTTAAGATATCATTACATTACAGCCCGTTCTATTCCTGCCTAATATAGCAATATCTAATATAATATATAAAATTCTTGTGCCACAGTTGTAGTGTTTATTCTCCTCCGAAACGGCTTGACCGATTTTGATGAAATTTTATAAGTATATTCAGTAGGTATAAAGAAAAGATTTATAACATTTTTTTCTATCCTACAAATAATTTAATATGTTGTAACAATATAATAATTTAACAGTAATAGGGCCAGGCAACCTTGCACGTATGGACAGTTCCGTCCGGGAAAGTACCAGGACCTGACGGAAAAACGGCGAGAAGTAGGAGCGTTATACTTCTGCCTTTTTTCTGGTTAGTGAGGTAGCCGGGGCCCACTTTATTAAAAGGTGGCAACGCATTTGCAAACGTACGGGTGTTGTAAATGTCAATGGGCGGCGGCTATCAATTAACATCAGGTGAACCGCCAGCTCGTTTGCCACGTTCTCACATAAAGAAATGCCTCCCCACAGACTGCGACCACGCACCATCCACCTACATCCTTCGACCTTCCGCTCATTTCAGAATTAATTTATTTTTTATATGATATAGTAATTAACCGCAGCTTGCTGCTAATCACACCTGCATGTGTCCAAATTTGCGGTGGTAGGTTTCGCCCTTTGTAAAGTCTTGAAATATTGTGAAATTGAATACAGAAACTGTGAATGTCTTTCGCCGTATAATATATCGCCGTATATATAATTGCGAGGGTTACATAAGATTTATTTAAAGAGAGTCCTAATTATCAACATATCATAACACATTATGATATGTTGATACTTATGATTCTGTGTTTATTAGGATACTTTACTTATTAAGCTAATTAGTAAGTAGCAACTCATGAGCTTAGTAAATACAGTTGGATAAGTTTTTAAAACCTTATCCTATTGTATTTATTAAAAATCATTTTTTTTAAGTACCTTTATAAGATAAACTCAATAAAGTAACAAATCCAATGTCGGGAAATCTTATATATTTTCAGTGTATTCATACTTTTTTAAATTTACCTACTACTTAATTATACCAACCTAATCATGTAATTAAGCTATTATCATCATCAAAATCTAATCTTAGTTAATTGAGGCTTAATAATGCCCCAAATAGTACACATCTCTTAAAATACTTTTGCGTTTTTAATTGTGGCAATATTAGTGTTACGTTATTCGTGTTATGAGTAATTACAAGTTCAATTTACTACCATAACTTGTTTTTTTGGAACATTAAGGCCTTCTGACTTATTTATTTGTTCTTAATTTATGTTTATTTTTCTTCTGTTCATATTTTGCGCGTATTTGAATTCAATGTCAATCTTCCTTATATTACTAAATATAATTACTTTGATTAATTAATTGCCTTTGGTTGTGAAGATCTTTTAAATTCATCAAGTAACATCTAGAACCAAGAATCTAATCCTTGGCTTAATGCACGATCCCTTTCTTTAACATCTTCGATCGTTACGCTTATCCAGTCAAGATAAAACACGTGAGGAAATTCGCTTATACGCTAGATAGGGGTGTCCCATCACGTTCGCCGGGACATAAGCCGCATGCGTTTGTGAAAATACACAAACACGTTAAAAAACGAGACCTGAGATGGGATCGGTGCCGAGCAAAGCGAAACAGGTGCCAGCGGAGCGCAATATCGACTTTCCACGGACTTGGACTGCTCCTTGGCAAATGTTGATGCGCTAGTTACGGGAGAGCGAAAGGAGCCACGCGGGGGAGGGGGGGGGGGTTCGCGTCCTAAGCAAACTATCAAAAAACATTATGGGGTGCAAATAACAACGGTCGCGGGGTACGTAATGAAAATCTCGGTACGGCGGATCGGGGCGGCCGGCGGTTTTGCGCGCGCCGGCGGGCGAGGGCGGGCGGGCAATCGATGCCGGCACGGGATCGCGCCCCGACGCCCCAACGGCAGACGCACAGACGCCCGGAGACGCCGCGCCGGTGCACACGCGCCCGCCGACGCGCACTGTTTACTTCGCGCCGGAACAGCTGACCGGTAAGTCACGTGCGCCGCGCCGCTACCCACCTATTGTCTTCGCGGGATAAGGACAATAGGTCCTTCCAATACCGGGCACGGACCCTCACAAAGGCGCCGCCATCGCGACCGCTCCGTTACGCGAATACAATATTCGCGAACCCGGATCCGCACGGCTGCACTATTCCGCGCTTCGGGCCGGCTATTGTTTAGCTGCGGTTTCGGAGTGTCCCGTCCGAAATTTTACCTTTTATTTATTTACCGCCGGCTCTGATGCTTTCTCTGTGCCGGAGTGGGTGGGGATGGCTTGTAGCACATAGGTGCAACTGCGCCCTGTAAATCGGATGCTTTATTTTATAGATGGTGGTGCCGGTGGCGAGACGCGGCGAGGACCGGTTTGTGAGCGCCAACTTTTGGGAGGGTGTTGGTAAAGTAGAAGACGTATGACTTTGTGAAGTGTATTAAACTGTCACCAAAATATGTTAACTAAAGTAGTATGTTGATACAAAATTGTTACCTATAGACTATCGTATAGCCTTAAGTAGAAATATTTCTCGTTTGTAAATGTTCATGTTCCTTGATGATAATCCTTTTCAGCTGGCCCATGGATCTTCTGGAAGACGGAAGAGAAGATTACGCGTCGCCTTCTGTACGTATACTGAATGTATCCTGAGTGCTTCATTCTTTCCGGTATACCTTCAGTATACGTAACAGAAGATGACACTCGTCTGCGGTCGTCATGAAGAATTCTTCTGCCCTCTTCTTTTTCGCTGTCGTTGTTGTTTATAAAACTTCTGTGAATAATTTTATTGTTTACAGGTGCGCACAAATGTTAATATTATGGTACAATAAGAGAAAGGTGTATATCACAGGATAATTTTAGAACAAATTTTAATCTGTTTAGTATAGTCCCAAAACTAGTTGTAGCTGTGATTAATGTAAGATTGTATTACAGAGAGATACTTACTAAACACGGCTTATAGTAGTAAATTGTTAGAATAAGTATGTAAAATTATACACATTTTGAATTTCTCACATACTTATTTGCGTATTTCAATTTATAGGTACTACCTATTGTATATTTTTAATTTATTAGAAATAAAGAACTTAAACATATGGTAACCTTTGTTTTTTTAAGCACTAAACCCAACATCGCAATTGTTGCGATAAATATAGCCCTAATAAACAAACACAAAAACCACTCTACACGGCTCATTTTTTTTTTCTGGCCAACGTTTTCCTTACTTTAATCATGCAATTAACTTAACACATAATTACCCTTAAGTCTGTGCTTATCAGAAAATCCAATTACTAAACAAAGACCGCACCAAACTGGTTTACAACAAAAGGGCAAAAGAACAGTGTTTAAGGTTATATTATCTGTGCGGCTCTGCTCGACAATTTGTGACATTGCATGTTCCTTACTCATTTGCAATTTAAAGTTTTTTAAACTTGAATATATTAAACAAACATCGTTTGATGATTAATTTAGAGTTTAACCAAGCATTAACACGTGGTCTCATCTATTTTCTACTAGTAATAGAATAGTTCTTGTATCTTGTATTATAACTGATGTTTTTGCTTTCAGTCCCGAGACTATTAAAGCTTCATCTGACACAGAACCGGTGGGCTAGCCAGAACCCACGGGTTATAGAATAGTCACAGAATTTATCTACATACCTACGAAAAAAAAATTTTTGCGATATTACAAACTTTTCATCATTTTATAACATAAATCATTGTACGTTTAATATAGTAATTCTCAATTTTTCGGGAACATTTGCTATGACCAAGACTTAAATTAGAAAATAAATATTCTTTACTAGCGACTACCCACCACGGCTTTGCACGGGTGCAATGTATTATACACATAAACCATCCTCTTGAATCACTCTATCTAGTAAAAAAAACCGCATCAAAATAGTTGCATAGTTTTAAAGATCCAAGCATACACAGCGACAGACAGACAGCTAGACGACTTTGTTTTATACTATGTAGTGTAGTATCTTCACTTAGATCAGTGGTGTATTCAATTATTGCTATATATAATATATTATACATATACATGTTTCATAAATCTTATAAAACTGACTCGAATATTTATTTATTGTTAAAAAAGGCCTTTTATGTTTTGTTAAAAAAGGCTAAAATATATATTCCCTTTAGTGGAGCAGAATGGAGTCAGAGTCATACAATAGGGCATCCTGCGGACTGCACAAAAGAGCATGCGACTGTCTCGGGTTGGCGCCAACACCGCTTCCTGAACTAAACCGATAACTTTTTACGATAACGATTGCTTGGCATTCGTATCAAACTGGTTTTTCAGGCGTCGCTACTGCTATAGTTACGAAAAGAGCATGTATAGAGGTCACAATATCGGAATACGGAATAGAGGAGGATTTGGGATCCGGATCTTTATCGGCTTCTGTATTGTGCTTTGATTTAGGGGATAATATAGGTGAATTAATATAGGGAAACTGAAAATGTATTGTACAGTTAATTATTTTGCTCCGGCGATAGGTACACATCAGCTTCTAGTGTTACATAAATGGGCCGGCCCAACCAGGGATATACCACCACCATCTAGTTAAGGATCAGCATGAATTATAAGTATCAATAATTTTGTGTTTTGATGATTACGAAATAAAATTATAAAGGATAGTTAGATTGAGCCAGTGTTCATTTCAAATTATATTTCATTTAATTTAAATAAATTTCCAAATGAGTAGTAGTAAGCTTTATGAAAACCTATTTATTTGTTATGACAATATCTATCATTATTAGATTTGAGAAAAAATTATGTAATTTTACCATTCAAATACTCGGCCATTGTTTGTACAAAAATGACCATTAAATATTATTAGGAGAGTACTAAAAGTAACAGGTAAAGTACAAAGTAGGTATACTATAACATAGACCACCACGCAACCCCCTCTGCAGATTTGCGGACTTCATATGCGGGTTTCCTCACGATGTCTTCATTTTTTATGAACACGTAATACGTCAGCACCTAAATTAACAATTTGACCAGCATTTTAAACATTTTTCCGGCACCAGAGATTGAACTCAGGTTTCTCGAGTAAGTACATTGAATTAAAGTTTTTAAAGCGCTCTGACACTGAACTGTTAGGATTATTTACTAAATAAACTTAAATTCTGCTTGTATTAGTGATATTTTTTAACTTTTAAATTTTTTATTAATAATGGATAAAAGCGCCATCTCTCAAAAACTTGTTGAACTTTTTCGAAAAGCAACAGGTTTAAGAGTAACATTGCCGAAATTATTTAGTTTTCATAATAATTTCATAACCAATACTTACTAGTACTAAATTATCAAAATAATATGATTCTCTAAGCTTAAATAAAAATTTAATGATAAGTAGGTACGTTTAAAGACAAAGTAAGTATTTTATTTTTTAAAACCCGAAACATAATGACGCAGAACAGGTAGGTAGGCAGTAGGAAACCGTAATAAACTTATGAATGTGAAATTTAAAAATGGTACACTAATACCAATTAAGAAAATGGTAAGAAATGTATTAAATAAAAAAATCCAAAGTTAATAAACCTATAAAACATGAAATACAAAAGAACCTATTAATATTTTGTAGAACGCAACATTTATTTTTAATTATTTCAATTACATACGTTACCTTTTTATTACAGTATTTCATAATTGCAAAACCATAATTTCAGGATTATGTTATCTAAAAATAATTATGAAATAAAGGAACCAACTAATTTTATTCTACTAGATAATTTTATATTTGTCAGTAGGTACCTAAAGGGTTAGAAAGAATTAAAAAAAATTGAGCCCAAAAAGAGCAACAATGAACCATTGTTTTATGGGAGAAAGTTTCAAAAACCTTTCCGGGTTCGAGGTGTCCAGAGTGATTTGGAAGTATAACAAAAAAGAGAAAGTTAGGTGAGTTCAAAAGGACCTCACATTTGTGCAAACGACCAATGGGGGAGCCGAAAAATGGCTTTCTAATTTCTTTTCGAAAATCGTGATCCACTTCCTAGTTCATTTGTGCAGTGGCTTTTGGAGGTAACTTGTCTATTTCAATTTGATCGAATCAGACGTTTAAAAGTTTAAAATTTTTGAGTATGTTATTTAAAAATACTTAGAATTAATTATTCAAGTGCTGACAAAGTAATTACACAAATAAGAGGATTCTACGAATTACAGAAGATAAGGATTTGCTATGGATGTTCTGAAGATGTAAAATGTTTTTACCTGTATAGAATATTAGTAAGTAAAATTATTATACAAACATTATTTATTGCCAATTTTAAAGCAATGTGACGGAATTATGTGCTTTTTCCTCCGCATTTAAAACATCAACAAACATCTAAATTGCTTCACTAAAGCAGATTAACGTTTTAATGTATTTTTTTTTTATATTAGTGTACAAAATTATATTTTAATGTTGTTAAAAGATTATAACATTCTTATATGAGTAAACGTTTCCAACAAGAGTGCCACGGTTCCAAAGACAATGAATGTCACTGCTGTCCCTACATAGCTGGCAATCAGCCATCGTCGTCCGAACAAAGCGGACGATCACACAAAACCGGGTACAGCATCTGGCTTATTGAAGAGTGAGCGAGATAAACATAGAACGGGAACTGCGACTGCGAGAGCGCGGTATCGAGCGGCTCGTTGCCATGGCAACAGACAATGGATTTTGGGTGCATAATATTTTAGGCTGCGTCGGGGCACGGGCCGAGGTGGGGGGAGGAAGACGGCCGGCGGCCATCTTTAAATTTATATTTCCAGTTCTGGCGAACTCCGTCGATTCCAGACGAACTTTCCGCGCGGCTAAGTTAGGAAAATTCTGGACGCTCAGAACAAGTTTATACGATTTTCCGTTTCCGTTTATAAAGTCCGTTCCATGATGTTAAAATGTTTGCATTACAAATTTTTAAGCGCGCGTGAACACATTTAAAGGTAAAATATGGCACCCGGCTAGACAGTTGCTGGAATGTAATACGAATATATACAATTTCTTACTTCATACACGTAGGATAAAATATCTCGAAAAAAATATCCCATTACTCACATACAAAACAACGTAAACAAAGAGCCGAATGACAATAAAATATTAATTTTATCGAGCGTGCGAGATAGCTTTATCTGTATTTTTACTGTGTAGGCACCGGCCAGTGTCGGCGGTTGGCGTCCAAAGAGGTCTCACTCGTAAAGAGTCCAATTAATGCCGTGCCTCCGACCTCTTGGCTCGATTAAGCGATATCCCACAGCCTTCTCGCCCTTCAGATATTTCAGCCAACATCCTCCGCAAACGTTCAAATAAACGGCTCGCCACCTTTCCACGGCTCTCGTTTATATTTTTAATTAAAACTCATTAACCTCGTCCACTTCGTTATCTGATAAATATAATTGTTTTCGTGTAAAATTTAAAGCATTCGCCATGTTGAAAGACTTACAACGTTTATGTATTATGAAATATCTCCATTAGAAATAATTTTTATGTCTTGTTACATCAAATTATAACAGGAATAGCATTAATGTGGCACAAAAAAGACATTTAGATTGAACTTAACAATATTAACTGGCCGAAAATATTAACACATCTTTGTTGAAATGGTAATGCGAAACGTGATAGTAATTATGTGCAAATATTTCTATAAATGTTTGTAGGATGAATC